TATCGCCACTACTATTATTTTAGCCAACAAACTAGCAGAGTTCATCACTACTTGAAATTCTGATTCAAACTACTGATTAGGTACAGTATTTGAATCTAGATGTCACTTAATGGAGTAAAGGCTGCTTTCTACTAATAGAAAATGGCCAGTTATACTTCTGAATGAGTGGAGATAAACCAGCCTAGAAGGAACAGCTCCACAACAGTCTCCAGCTGAAAAATCTGTTAGCACTGGGAGAACAGCTTTGAAGTCACATCTTAGATTAAGAGAACAGAGGTTGAGCAAGAATTTTAAAAACTGAGATTTGATTGAAATTACAATAATTTTTTTTCTTTGAGACAGGATCTCACTATGCAGCCCTGGCTGACCTGGAACTTGCTATGTAGACCAGACTGGCTTTGAACTCAGAGAGATCTGCCTGCCTCTGCCTCTGAGTACTGGGATTAAAAGTGTGTGCCACCACACCCAGCTATAATAATACAATATTTTAATGAAATTCAATGTTGAAGCCGGGCGTGGTGGCACACGTCTCTAGTCCCAACACTCGGGAGGCAGAGGCAGGCGGATCTCTGTGAGTTCAAGGCCAGCCTGGTCTACATAGTGAGTTCCAGGCCAGCTGGGGCTACAGGGAGACCCTGCTTCAAAAAGACAGAAAAAAAAAAAAGAAAAAAAAAACTTCAATGTTGAGACCCTAATGGATGAGGTGAATGCATAACATAATTTTGACTGTTTGCATGAGTTTTAAGGTCATGAAAGTCAAAGAGAAAACACTAAGAGGATGTTACCTAGTGTATACAACATTTGGTCATACAGTCATATTCCCAAAGGAAAAGTTAGCTAGAACCCCCAGCCTGCCTTATTGCCCATTTCAGAATCACTTTACCCATGCATCTGTTCTCATCTTTCTCCCTAGCTTGTCTCCAAGGAGGAGTCTCTCTTAACAGCAACTCCTCTGTGAGCTGGTAACTTCTTTTTTTTTTTTTTTTTTTTTTTTTTTTTTTTTTTGTGGATGGGGATTTGGATGGGATACGTTGTCCTGGAACTCACTATGTGGGCCAGGCTGGCCTTGAACTCACAGAGATCCACCTGCCTCTGTCTCCCAAGTGCTGGGATTAAGGGGTGCGCCACCACACCCAGCTTCTCCTTTGGATCTTTTACATCTAAATTATCTTTGTTTCTGATCTTTCTTTGTCACTCATTCCTCTATGCAAAGCTCTCTCTAACAAGGAAGAAAGTTTGGTATAGTTTCTGGTTTAATCTCTTCTAATTATTTCTTGTTTGAATTTCAGTTTTTAAACAGATTATAGAAATGCTTAACTGTATTTGGAAGTTCTCACTAAAATGTCACTCATTCCTAAGAGACACTCCGAGAAACCAATAGGCTTTTTGGTAACAATGAAATTCCATCAGTAGAAACAAAACTAAACAGCTTTTAAAGGCTACTATTTGGGGCCAAAAATTTAAAAGAAGGACTTAATGATGATAAAACCTCATTAGAATGTGACTAAGGTTCTAAACAATAGTAATTCTGATCTAGTAAAAATGGATTTATGTACTTAATTCTGTCAAATGGTAGAAATCTTTATAACCCTCTTATCTTTATAGCCCTCTACCAATAAGTTGGAGGTGATGGTTCATATAAAATGCTGAACTTTGAATGAAAAGACAGGAAAACATGACATGGTGGTGCACTGTAATCCCAGCACTTCCAGAGACAGAAGCAGGAGGATCACAAGTTGGAGGCCAGCCTAGGTTACATAGCGATAAAAATACTAGTAGTCTTAATCAAATCGCTTCCTCTTATCTTTTATCTGTAACTGGACATAACAACTACCTTGCTGTGGTGGTTTGAATGAGAATGTCCCCCATAAGTTCCAAGTATTTGAATACTTTGCCCTAGTTGATGGTGCTATTTTGGGAGGTTTAGGAGGTATAGCCTTGCTAGAGGAAGCATGTCACTGGGGGCCAGCTTTGAGAGTTCCTTGCCTTTTCCCATTTCCATGTTGCTCTCTATGCCTTTTGTGTGTGCTTAAAAATGTGAGCTCTCAACTTTTTGCTCCAGTCGCCTCTGCCGCCCTACCACATTGGACTTTTATCCCTTTGAAACCATAAGCCCAATAAACTCTTCCACGTTTCCTTGACCATGGTTTTTATCACAGCAACAGAAAAGTAACTATTATACCTGCCTACCCTCACAAAATTATTATTAAAGATTAAAGGAGGTCTGGGCATGGTGGCATACACCTTTAATCCCAGTACCTGGAGATGGAGGCAGAGGTAGGCACATCTCTGAAAGTCTGAGGCCAGCCTGGTCTGCCCAGAAGTTGCAGGACAGCCAGGATGAGATGTTTTGCCATTGTACTGTCACTATGTAAAAATGACTCTGAAGACTACGTCATGGTAACAAGAAATTATTATACTGCCTTTAGCCAGTTTTCTGTCATACCTGGGAGATTCCATTTCTGATAAAAAAAAATATTGGTTGTTTCACCAAATAAATGTCTGGTGGGGTTTGAAACGATTATTTCACTCTTGTCTTTCTTTCAGTGCTGGGGCTCCAACCCAGAGCCTCACATTGCTAGGCAAGTGCTCTACCCCAGTATAAGCTACTTTGAGAACCCCTTTCTGAATTCTCTACCTTAGAGATTATGAGCTTACATCTACTCAATCTTTTGAACTGTAAATTTAGAATATTATTTCACTTTTCTTCATCTATCCATGTCTTTACCTTCACAAACTCTTCTTTTCAATCTGTATCCAAATTATGTGGGTTTTGCCTTCAGAGAGCTCTAGAATCTTCCCTTATCTCTATCCTTAGTGCCACTCTCGCACACGTATCAGAACAGCACCTTCTCTTTTTTAAGTGTGTTTTGCCTGTGTGTCTGTAAGTGCACTGTGTGCATGCAATGCCCATGGATGCCAGAAGAGGGCATCAAATCTCCTGGAACTGGAGTTACCGATGGTTATTAGCTACCATGTGAGTGCTGAGAACTGAACCCAGGTCCTCTGGAAGAACAGCAAGTGCTCTTAACTGCTGAACCACTTCTCCAACCCCATTGTTCCTGTTCAATGTACCCCTCCCTACATCTCACTACCAACAAACTTAGCTGTTAAGAGCATCTACTAGTCTTAGGACTCAAGTTAGGTTCCCAGCACCTACATAGATGGCTCACAACCACTTGTATCTCCAGCTCCAGGGGATCAGATGCCCTCTTCTGGGCTCTATGAGCACCTGTACTCTCATGTCTATACAGCCACACACATATACACATAATTTAAAAATAAATCTTTCTTAAAAATCTTAACACTCCTGACAAAAAGAAAAAACCAAAACACATCCAGCATGTCCTGCCACCCAACCTCAACAGTCCTAATCCTCCATTTTAGCCAAGAAAAGTCGAGTCTCTTAGAAAATGACTGATTTGAATGGCACTAGGTCTCTCATGACTAAACGCTGGTTCTTTAACGCTTCAGGTCTCATCTGTAAAATTGGGTCAGTAAGAGAAGACTTGTTCATATTATTTGTCATTAAAAAAAAAAAAAAAAGGCGGGGGTGGCAGTACATGCCTGTAATAGTACCAGCACTCTAGAGTAGGATGTAGGTCCATTATGAGCTGGAGACCAGCCTGGGCTGCAGAAAGACCTTGTCTCAAAAACAACAAACAGAAGGATAAATGAAGAAATAATGCTGGTAATGAGTATATGTGTGTGGTACATAACCCTAGGTCACAGTTAACTACTTACTAAGACTGTTTCGTTTTTACTGCACTTAACAGTATTCTTTAGGGCCTAAGGAACAAAAATGTGAGTTCCAGATCCAGCAGGCTTTGTCCCCTCGGCGCCGTCTTTTTTGCTTGCCGAGCCAGCTCTCTGGCCCCTGCGCACCTGACATTTGGGTTTGGGGAGCATCTCAGGATGTAGGCTGAGGTTTGGTGCATGGCTATGGGACACCGGATGAGGCGGGATCAGGAGAGAATAGGAGTACCCAACTGGGAGACTTCAGACGTCCAGATCAGAGACGTTTTAATTTCCTATGCATCTTCCTCAGGCAAGGGACTCTGTGTCTCAAGCCCGTTCCCTCTTTTGTAGAAAAAGGCATCGAATTCCTCACACTTCCTGCCTCACAGGGTTGCTGTGATGACCTTGAGGTAGAACCAGCCAACACTCAGTTAACCCCAGCCTTGAGCATCAGAGAAAGCCGGGAGTGGTGCGAGGGGGATCACGTGACAAAGCCAGCTTGTCCCACCCCCACCCCCCCCCGCCCAGACCTCCGGATTTCCTAGAACGTCTCATCTCTATGGTTGGTGGCACGCAGAATCTCGTGCGGAGGAGGTTGTCCTTCCGGGTGATTGTTACTGCTTCCGGGGCGGGCCAGTAGCAACCTGAGATTACGGTGTTTAACTCCAGTCGTCCTGTCTGTCGATGCTTTCTCCTGCAATGAGCTTCCTCAAAAGTTTCTCTCCGCCCGGGCCGGCCGAAGGGCTCCGTCAGCATCAGCCGGACACCGAGGCTGTGCTGAACGGGAAGGGGCTCGGTACTGGCACCCTCTACATTGCTGAGAGGTAGGGTTCCCGGCTGCAGGCACCGTCCTCCGCGGTGGCGCAGTCTCCTCCCAGACTGCTGGGAGGGGCGCGCAGGGGGCGCCGGGAGGATGCGGGATGAATGGATGCTGCTGCTGGGGGGATGCTGCTGAGATGCTGCTGAAGAGAGGGATGATCCCAGCGCTCCTTTCCCTGAGCTTCCCTGGCTCTTTTTTCCAGACAGGGTTTCTTTCCCCTTAAGAATTGTCTGCTGGAAACTTGGCACGTGGTCACATTTTAAAGTTTTGAGTTTTCCACCCTGGGTTGGTTTTCCACCTGCCTGACTTTCCTAATGAGTTTGTGAGGAAGATATTTTCTCTCCGCAAAGTATTTGGTTCAGAGCAGATTGTGCTGGTTTTGCAAACTTGATAAATGAGGACGAATTTTTTTTTTTCAATAGGAGTGCGTGGGGAACAGCAGCCTTAAAGTCCACGGAGGGCGGAGGCCTAACCGTTGAAATCTGACTCTGTGGGGGCGGGGGGGCGTCCCAGCAGGAATTCTCCTTTTGTCTACCTGGAGCACTAAAATATTCCAGTTGTAAAGGCAGGCTCCTCATTACTTAATGTGTAATCCCCTCCATCTTCCACACTAACAGTGACTCATAATCTGCCCTGTCCTTCAAAGTCTCTGGCTTCCCTTTTTGCTATATTATTTGTCCATAGCCAGAGGAAATTCTTGGCTTTTAAGAGCTCGTGTCATTACTTTGGGTCTGCCTGGATAATCCAGGACAGTCTCCCCGCCCCCCATTGTTGTTAGTGTTACAGAGTTTTTTGACATCAGACTTAGCAGATTCACAGGCATGACACCAGAAAACGAGCTTATTAGGGACCAAAATTATGCCTACTACAGAGTCCAAGGTATAAAAAGGGTAAAATAAGCCGAGCGTGATGGTGCACGCCTTTCATCCCAGCACTCGGGAGGCAGAGGCAGAGGCAGGCGCAGGCGGATCTCTGAGTTTAAGGCCAGCCTGGTCTACATAGTGAGACCCTGTCTCAAAAAGACTCCCCCTTCCCCCCCCCCCAAAAAGTGTAAAATAAAAAAGGGAGGGTCTGGAGAGATTGCTCAGTGCTTAAGACCGCTGACTGCTCTTGCAGAGGACCCAAGTTTGATTCCCTGCACCCACATGGGGGCTAACTGTCTGTAACGCCATCGGACGCCCTCTTCTGACCTCCATGGGCATGGCACGACAGTTCCACCTACCTACTTGCAGGCAATGCACACATACACATTTTTTTTTTTTTAAGTTTAAAATGTCTTCCTTTAAACCTTAAGCCTCATGGCATTTTTTTTTTAAAGTGTATAAAGAAAATGGGCGTGGAGAAATGGCTCAGTGGTTAAGAGCACTGGCTATTCTTCCAGAGGACCTGGGTTCAATTCCCAGCATTCACATGGCAGCTAACAACCATTGTAACTCCAATTCCAGGGGATCTGACGGCCTCTTCTGTAACTCTGGTGCCAGCTGGCTTTCCACAGCATGGGTGCACTTACACACAGACAAGACACTCATACACATTAAATTAAAATAATAAATATTGTAAACAAAAAACTTGGTTTAGAGATTTTTTTGTTTGTTTGCTTGTTTTTGTTTTGAGATAGCCCCAATTAGGAAGGAACTCACTATGAAGACAGGCTGGCCTCAGTCTCACAGCTCACAGAGATCTGCCTGCATCTGCTTCCCAAGTGTGAGGATTAAAGGCATCGGCTGTGATGCTGGCTAGAGAGAAATTTTGACAGTGGGCAAAACATGGGTGTCTGGTCAGTGAGGTAGGAAATATAAATAAGAGAGAGGGAAAGCAAGAGAGGGATGAAGGGCAGGTGATGAGTTTGGTTTGGGTATGAATGGAGTAGTTGGGCTTATGAGTCTTAGGAAAGTGATATCAAAGAGAGACTTGGAAATCAGAGTATTAAAATATATTTAAGAGTAGGCTAGATAGCTCAGAAGAGAGGGCCAAGGATACCTTGGGGATACGCCTGCATTGGGAGGAGGGTGATGGGAGAACAGACATGAGAAAAGAGGGAAGAAGCGAGTATTAAACCATCTGTTGAGCATTAGCAATAGATCTTTGGTGATCTTGGAAGAGCAAGAGTTTTAGTGTGTGTTGGTTTTTGTTTTTGGTCTTTTTGAGACAGGGTCTCTCTGTAGCCCCAGCTGGCCTGGAACTTACTATGTAGACCAGGCTGGCTTTGAACTCAACTTGCCTCTGCCTTGGAGTGCTGGGATTAAAGGCTTGGGCTACCATGCCCAGCTTATTTTACATTTTCACTGACAGATCTCTTATGTTTCTTTAAGAAAACATTTTTGTTTATGTCCAAAAATTATAGTTCCATATATATATGGCTTACGGAATTATAATTGAACCAACACTTCCATAGCCTTGGTGCACGTCTCTAGTCGTCCATCCCTCATCTTGGCCTGACTCCGTTTGTGTCCTTTCCCACCTAATTAGCAAAGCTTCCTAAAGAATCTGACAAATGATTAATTTCTAGAATGGCTCGGAGCTGGGGGGAGGGGAGCATGTCCTAATTAGAAGAAACAGGATGCTGTGATGCAAGAGTGAAAGAATATTCTGTGTGCCCTGCAGGATGTGTATGTATTTTACAAAGACATATATGCCATATTCTGTTTATCAGTTCTTGCATCTGAGGAAATGGAGAAAATGAAGAGTGAAAGCTGGAGCAGAAGAGGCCCTGTTCCTGAGCTTGCCATACATTACAACCTTTGGGAAACAGAAATAGTATTGGATTCAGCTTTAAGTAGATGGCTTCTTAAAAGTCTCTTTAGAGATGTGGAACTCCTGGGCTGCTTTTCAGAGCTTAGTTTTGATAGGAAGTTGACCTCTTTATTTTATTATTTTATGTGTGTGAGTATAGTGCTTGCATGTATGTCATGCTGTGCCTGCAGAGGTCAGAAGAAGGCATCAGATCTCCCTGGAACTGGAGTTGGCAGATGGTGGTTTGCTGCCATGTGGGTGCTGGGATTTGAACCCAGGTGCTCTATAAGAGCAGCCAATACTCTTAACCACTGGAGCCACTCTCCAGCTCCCTGTTTCATATTTTTAAAGATGTGTTTATTTAGCTGGGTGTGGTGGCTCATGCTTTTAATCCCAGCACTTGGGAGGCAGAAGCAGGTGGATTTCTGTGAGTTCCAGAGAGACCCTGTCTCAAGACCAAAAAAAAAAAAAGTTTATTTTGTGTATGAATGTTTGTCTACATATATGTATATGTTCCATGTGCATATCTGGTGCCAGCAGAGGCCATATGGGGACATTAGATCCCCTGAAACTGGAGTTACAGGTGATGTTGAGCCAACATGTTGGTGCTGGGAACCAAACCCCAGTCTTCTGCAAGAGCAGCAAGTGCTCTTAACTGCTGAGCATCTCTCCAGCCCCAAGTATTGCTTTCAGGTGTGATGCTTGTTCTATTTGAGTTCCAAATGACATTTCTGCATGTGAGATTCTCAGTGCTCAGCTGTGCTGAGCAGCATGCTGTTAGTGGTGAAGGACTACAGAGCAGTTAATTTGCTTTAAGCTAACAGGCATAATTTGCTCAGTGCTGATTCTATTAGATTTTAGTTTTCTCCACCTCCCAGTTGAGTCCATAAAGGTTTTGGGACTCTGAATATTTGAAATTAATTTGAACATGTAAATCTGGACTGTTCTAAATTGTGTTCATGTTGAGAGATTTTATAGGTGACAAAGGGACAGTTTATTTGCTTTAAAATACTGCTTGAGTCGGATTATTGTGACCGTGAGTACTGTTCTATTCCATGTGAAGAGGAAAGCAGTAGGCAGGAAAGGCACGTACAGCACACAGTTCAGTTGCATAATGAAATCTGTTCTTTGGAAGGAGTGGGAATGAGCCATTCTGGGAAATCCTAGCGATTTCGCACTTTGCTCCTTAAAGTTTGATCACTTTTAAACCTCTCGTGTTTTCTTTTTCAAATAAGCCTGATGGGTGGAAGTCTTCCCAAAAGCTGTGTATTTTCTTGCTCTTAATTTTTTAAGTATATCATTAAATAATTTTAGTATGTTTACAGAATTGCACATTTAGGGCCACAATTTGTTTTGCCTTTGTTTTTGAGACTGCTCTTGCTTAGTGAGATTGCATTGCACATTTGTGCTATGCTGTTAGGCATTGATTTCCGAGGGGGATTCCTGAAGTGTAGCATTCAGCATCCTCTTACACTGACCACAATAATTTTAGAGTGTTCTACCATTGTTCTTGTCCAACTGAGTTCTCCAGGTCTGTTTGTTTGGGTTTTGTTTAGTTGTCTTTTTTTTTGTGTGTGTGTGTGACCAAGTCTCGAATTCTGTAGTACAGGCTAGCCTTGAGCTCACAGCATTCCTCCTGCCTCAGACTCCAGACTCAGGTTTGAGATTACAGACAGGAACCATGCATGGCCAGCTCGTTAACAGAAAATAGGATGAATCTAGGCATGGAGTTACAGGCTTATTTATAATCCCAGCACTTGGGTTGCAGAGGCAGGAAGAGCAAGAGGAGTTCGTGGCTAGCTGGGACTAATGAAGCCAACATGGGCTAGCCAGGGAAACTGTCTCAAAAATAAAAAAGAAAGAATGGGGGAAAGAAAAGGCGGGGGGTATGAACAAATTACTGCATTCACTTTTTATTTTCTGGTGCTCGGGATCGCCAGGACCTTAGGTGTGCTAAGGATATGTTCTACAGAGCTACATTTCAGCTCCTTAACTTTATTTTTTAAGCTGTATCCAGTGATTGTATAAAAGTTTCATTGTGACATTCCTCTTTAAAACAGCATTAGTGGCATGACTCACAGCGCATACAACTTGGCCTATATAAGTTGTATAATTTGATTTTTATTGTGCAACCATCACCACAGTCAATTTTAGAACATTCTTGTTGCCCCCAAAAGAGACTGATGGCCATTAGCAGTTATTCTGTTTCCTTCTAGCCTTGGAAACATTTTTGTGGTTTCTTTGGGATCTTGCCCCTGCCCAGTGTCTTTTGACTGTTCTGCTGGGTTGCACAGTTCCAGATGAGTGAAGTATTGCCAGAAAGGTGTAGACATTAAAAAATTCAACATACTGATTTTTGTGATATGTTTCCTTGTTGTACCAGTGAAATACTTTTGTTTGGCCACTTTTGATGGAAAAGTAGTTTGGCATTTTGTTTTGTTTTGTTGTGTTTTTTTTGAGACAGGGTCTCCCTGTAGCCCCAGTTGACCTGGAATTCACTATGTAGACCAGGCTGGCCTTGAACTCACAGAGATCCGCCTGCCTCTGCCTTCAGAGTGCTGGGATTAAAGGCATGTGCCACCATGCCCGGCTGACTTCTTAAAACTAGTAATAGATGGAAAATCATCTCTGGAGAGTTTGTCTCTCAAAGTCATGATTATTTTTTGACTTGTGATTGTAATTACAGCCGTTTCATGTGTACATCATTTAATGGAAGATGTACAGAAAAGATGTATTGAGTGCTTACCTGCTGGGAACTGTGCTAATGTTTTTGAGGAATGTTAAATAATGTGACAGGTTGGATTTGGCCTTCAAGTAGCAAGGTCCATATATGACTCATTAATACAGAGTTGAGTGCCGGTGTTTGTTACTGAGTAACAATGCAGGTTAGAAACAAAGGAGATTTTTAATGGACTGTTGTAGTTGGAGGTCTCATGCAAAGCAAAGAGGATACCTGGAGACACAGTAAGAATAAACATAAGAGACTTAAACACACAGGGGAGGAGCTGGAGAGATGGCACCACAGTTAAGAGCACTTACTGCTCATTCAGAGGACCAGAGTTTGGTTCCCAGCACCCATGTCAGATGGCTCAGAACCATAGTTCCAGGTCTAGGGGATCAGATGCCCTCTTCTGGTCTCCACTGGC